TGACTCTGCCTTGTCTTTACTCAAGCCAGTCAAAAAATTACCAAGGCGTTGAGAAAATGTTGTCATTGCTGCTGCTATTTCTATGAGCACCAGTAAGTGAAGAAATTATTATCCTGACCCAAATTTCTGACCAGAAATTCCAAACCACCATTCACAAACACACGTTCACAAAGACAGCCTTCTCCTGAGAGGAGTGGGAACTTCTCTGGTCTCCTGTAAATACAAACACATGGCAAGAACTCACACTTTCCAGAACAGAGTGAGACACCTCACACTATCCAAGTACACCCCTGCCTCCCTTTCCTACCTGATTCCCACAATGGTTTCCAGAGATGTGTCATGAGTTCCTTGAACTGCCCTCTCCTAAAACATATTATTCCATCTGGTGTTATATACTGCTTATATTTTATTAGGTATTTCTCTGACAGAATAAAAATACTCATTGTAGAAAGCTGTTACAGTGTTTGCTTTGTGCTTGGTTACACCACAGCAAGCAGGACAAGCAGGATTTAAAAGATAAGAGGCTTTCAGTGCATTATTGCTCTGAAGACAACCATTGCTGTTATGATTTCTGTTACATTTATCCCTGGAAGCCCCACCAGGATTGTACTAGGCACTTTTGAAATCCACAATATGAGATTTGTAACAGACTTTTTTTTTCCCATCCTGGCACATGAAGCAAAGGCAGACACAGAAACTAATGTAGCTTCCCCAAGGAATCATCTTTGTAGGGATAAAACCACATCTCCTGCCTCACCTGAAGTCCTCATCCTCTAAACTGTGCATCATCTCTTCTTCTGCTTTGTATCTTGTATTACTTCTAGTAACTTCCCCACAGAAGACATTTATTGGGCCTTTCAGGTTACATCAAACAGCACAGAAGGTACAGATCTGTACCACTGAAACATCAGGATTATTTGGCCATCAAAGGGTGCAAAAATCTTCAGAGGCTCCAGTGCAGGTACTGGAGGAAGGATGAAGAGAAAGAACATGCATGAAATAAATCTGCATGAGGAGAAGTCATGTGTCTCTGTGCAAATCTGTGTTTCAGTGCTGCCTGCTTCATTCCTCTTTCCAGGTGCAAACCAAGTTCTCAGCATAACCCAAAATGTTGGGGGCAAACTTTAGTCCTCCATGCACACCAACAGGGTTGGTGAAGATTTGAATGAAGCTGTTTTGCAATATTAACAGGGTGATATTCACCTAATATTTTTCACAGGGTAATTTTTCACCTAAGCAAGAATCTGCTTTCACAATTTAGCAAACTTTACTGGAGGTCAGTGGGATGTGGGTTCCCCACTTGCAGGAACTTGCAGTTCCTGAGGAATTCTCATATCCCTGTGTCCAAAAATCCCCAGCTCTAAAAAGGCAGCAACACCTTTGCACTTTGCTGTAAAGCAAGAAACAGTGCACAGAAGTACTATCTAAGTGCAAGCCTGACCCAGAAAACCAGAGGCAGTTTTCAAAGAGATGCATCTGTCTCCAGCGAGTCCATGTGCCTGTGCACAAGGGTGTGAGTGTTTCAACAACCATCCTGGTGCATTTGTATGGATGGCAAAGTACAATTTCAACTGAACTCTTCCTCAACATTAAAAAAATAACAATTTATGAGATGTTTTTGCATGGCTTAAAGACATAATCCTCACTTGGTGTGTAAATGCAGTTTTCACTAACCCTGTGAAAACTGCTCAGAATAGAAAGATAGGGAGACAACTTGACAGAATAGGAAATATTTTTCCTCAAAGAATGAATCAGAGTCTAAATTTGGTGATGGAAATAAAAGCAGCATGTGGAGAAGACCAGAATAAGTACATTCTTTGTCATCAAAAAGCATAAGTTGCTGCTGTCCTGGAGTGAAAACGAGCTCAAAACCATATTACAGAAAAGAATGGGATGTCCATAAGATTTCATGGGTGGCCAGACACCTCTTCCTCTGAATGCTGACCTGGAACACCTGCAGAACACTGAAAACATCCCCCAGCAGGCTCTTGTGCCAAGGAGCAGCTGCCCTGGAGAAGGATGTGATGGTCAGGCAGGAGAGTTCACTCAAGTCTGCTCAGGTTTTGGCTAACCCAGCCCATGAGGTCAGCTGGGAGCAGCACCATCCCACCCAAGCCAGGGCACCAGGCAGGCAGGACAGGTGCCCAGGAAGGGCCACTCTGCAGTCACCATCACCTGAAAATTGCAGGTTTACCCTTTTTCTGGCATTTTCCTCAGAATCCACTAATGTGTGGAAATGGCAAAGTCCAAAGTCCCAAGCTGGAAGATATAAAACTTCAGCTTACCCCAAAAGTTCTTGAAGCAGATCCAAGAGCAGCTGGACTGCTGATGCTTTTGTGTGTCCTGGTGGGATACAGGGCATGCTCACACCAGGATGGAGCAGGAAGGATGAGTACTCTCAGCTCATCCTCACTGAATTCAGTCACTGAATAGGGAACTAATTCTAATTTTGTTCATAGGTGATGATATTAAGAGTCAGGAAATCATAGAACTTGAGTGGTGACTGAGGGAATTAATGTGACAGGCAAGTCACCAAAAGGTGATTGAGCCCTTGTTTGTCATCTTTGTTCAATAATGAGCTCATGAAATAAAGTTTAAATCACAGATTACACTGTCCTGTAAATATGAGAGATCTAAAAGAACCCTGACAGTTAGTGCAAAAGATCAGGCTGCAAAAATTTGCTGTTCTTCAACTCTTTCCTTCATGGCTGTGGCTTTTTGGAGCCAGAAAGGATGGGACAGCTTTGCTGTAGAGGGCCAGTGTCCTCCTCTGCTGCTTTTCCCCACACTGCACACAGAAAGTTCCTTCTCCTGTTAAGCAGTCTCTTTGTGTTTATAGCAATCTCCTCCTGCTTCATTCACAGCATGGATCCCAGATGGTTGAACAGCCAGAACCCTGCTTTGCTGGATGGTCACAACCAAAACCACACAAGAAGACCCAAATTTCTGTGTGCTGAAAGAGGTGGTTGTTGGTCCTCTCCAGAAACCAGCACAGGAAGTGCCACTCCAGCTTTGCTCTTTCCCCATTGAGTCTCCCTTTTCCCAGGACTGCTGTTAATCTGATTATCCCATATATTATAGTGATGCAGACTAAGACTGAGCATATATTTTCATGTGCCCATAGTTTCACATCCAGTAAAAAAAAAAGCTCAGAAGTATTTATTAAAATGACTTGTTCATTTTATAAAATATCTGTATCAATTAATTGCTAATAAGTAGTTCAAAGCTGACTCAGAGATTAATAAATAATTTAACACCCATAACTTATTCAATTAATTCAGTCTCTCTCCTTTTTTTCTGGAAAGACTTCTGGGGAGTTATCCTCTCTTTGTGTCCAGGCAAGGATCTTCAAGTCTGTCACTTCAAATTAAAATTTTTTCCTCTCCTGAAATGTTATTACTTCACAAGATTGGTCTTATACAATTTATAGCAACTATTTCATACTAAAAGTTCAAGTACTGTTGAGAATTATGATGGTAAGAAATATATGTGTTTTTTCATGAGAGTTGAGAGTCATTCTTTTTATTCTAAGCAATGTTTAAAAAACCCTCTCAAACTCTGCATTTTTCAGGGACAGGGAGGGCAGAGGGAACAGGTTATTATACTGACTATTGAAATTTGGGAACCTATCACAATTTTCCCTCTCTGGCACAAAGAATTGACTGAGGCAGCATCACATTGGAAAAAACAGGCGCCTGTGAGATTACTGCATTTGCAAAAAGATGCACACAGCATTTCAGACACCACAGTGATTTGTTTTTTTCCTTCTCACTGCAGGGGAATAATGACACAATCAAAAATACACTGAAATCACTGAAAGCCTTTAAGTCCTTTCAGTTGAATTCAGAGGGCTGAGATGCCAATAAATAGAATTGCTTGGCAAACATTGACACTTTAAGGACAGACACTATATAAATGCTGTGTACTCTGTGTGTACCCAGCTTCCCACTGAAGATTTTAAAATGTTTTTGTTTCTTTAGCTGGTCCTCAGTAGAGCATCAGTAGAGAGAAAACAAGTTAAAAAATGGAGAAAGAGGGGGGAAGTAACAAAAACAGTGACCTTTATGTAATGCACCCAAAGGACACCATGACAAGATCCACAGATGAGCAATCTGTGACCCCTGTGGCTTCAATCCAGGCTGAAGCCTCACTGATCACAAATAAAGCTGGGAGATGCAAACACAGAACTTGCTTCCAAATGAAAAGAAAATAGCAGCCATCATTCCTGGTTCCTAATGCTTGCCTTCTATTCATTTCTCCCCAGTGAAGATGGTAGATCAGCATAATGCTTTCTCTGCTTTTCTAGAGCTTAAATTTTTTTATACCACTAACTTGGGAAGAGACTGTGCTTTGATGCTGTCTCTGTTAATTATTTTCATGAAATTTGAATTAACACTTTGCTCATTAAATATTTCTAGAGATGAGCTTGAGGCATGGAATTTGAAGACAGTTTTCTCTGAAATTCAGGACAAAATACATCCAAGGTTTTTATGACACTACCTGGGACTCAAGATCAACTGGTAGCAGTATAGTGGAACTGCAAAGAAAATTATTTTGTCTTTCAGAACCTCTATTTAAACATGTGAAACTAAAACTAATGACAGCAGTACCTTCCTTTGTGATGCAATCTGGTAACTCAAGTTTGGAACCTGGAAATTGTAAAGTGTCATTCCTGGATCCACTGTGAGAATGCTCCTATCTGGCATTTTGGATTTGGCCCATTTATAATTGCTTCATTTTCAAATATTTACTGATTAACAGTAAATGTTCAGCTCTTCAGGTAACTAGGATGCTGGTCAACACAGTCATATCTACTGGTACAAGAATTTTAAACTTCACAGCATAATAAATAACTTGTACTATTTTTAAAATAAACACATAATTCACAAGCATTAGCACAAAGCATAAAGGATATTACCTGCCTTATCTAAGTGTATTTTAGCTACAAGAAATCAAAGAAAAATAGGAATTGTTCAGAAACCTCGGAGGCTGGCACTTACCACTCCAGCTGCTTACTAGAGCAGGAAAGAATTCCCTCCAGCCTTGCAGGGAGCGGGAGTTACCAGTTACTGCATTGCAGCTCTAGTCCTCCAGCACTGCACAGCCCCTGAAAGCCAGCACAGGAAACACAGGCCAGGCAAGAGGCTGCACTCAGAGCCAGCCACATCCACCTGGGCATGTGGGGAGAGAGAAAAACCCTTTTCAGAGCTGCAACAACTTCCTTTCATTCATCCTTCTCCCTGCCAAGGAAAGACAGCACAGCAGTGCTTGTGAGACCCGAGCAAGGCTCACTCACGATTTGGAGTTCTCTGAGCAGCACCGCTTTCTCCTGGAGGATCAGTCAAGCCCAGAATCACTAAGAAAACATGATCAGGTTATGCTGTGGAATGATTTATGTTTATACACATCTGGTGGGTGGGTATGTTCACATAAAAAATCTGTGTGGTTGATCAAACGTGCCTGTGATGGGTTGTAAAACGTAACCACTGATTGCAGCAACTCTGAAACGGAACTTTGCAGCCCTTTAAAATTAACTGAAGTCCCACTACAGCAAAGTGGCTAATTATTCCTGTGTCATTAAGCAGGGGTTTTGTCAGCATGCAGAGACCTGAATTCCCCAGTAACCACAGACTGATTTCAGTGCAAGATGGGCACCACAATCTCTCTGATGTACCAGAGAACCTGAAGGTATTTACAGCCTAAACAGACAGCAAACTGAGGAGGGGAGGGGACAGCAAGTTAATTATATCTTAATTCATTAATAAAAGCTTAAAAAAAAATAAACAAAACCAAAAACCGAACTGGAAGACAAAGGGGAGCTTGGGTGTGGAAGGGTCCAGCTGGAGCATGATGCTGTGCCTGCAAGGCAGAAAGGGAAGATGTTAAGAAGCACAAAGTGGCTCAGGGATGAGGCAAGCACTTGACTCTTTATTCCCTGGTGCATGAAGGGTTAAAAAATAAAGAGAAGAGAGATGAACTTTTGGAAAACTCCAGTGGTTTGGATTCTGTTCAAGGCTTGGATCAACCCATCTCAACTTGAAAAAACAGGACAATGGTGTCCACTTGGCTCAGCTGCAGGCTCTATGAATTTTTATTACCAATGGCTAGAGTTCAAGGCAAGTGAATTGTAAATAAGGAGAAATGAAACACAATAAAATAGTCTCCAGAGATTTACCTAGAAAACATCTGGAGTTTTGGCACTAACATATAGAAATCTATACCAATGGGAATGCAACATATTACTGTGCAGTGCAGTAAGAAATAGCACAGATAAATGAGAAGTTAAGGCCTCATATATATCACAGTATTTCAGCTCCTTTCGGCTGTGTGAGTTTCCAATACTCTGAAGTCCTGCCAAATATTTCATTGTTACCTTATTAGATGTTCTTGGTTTACTACCTTTTGCTTTGTAAAGCACTGATTTAGTGTCAGTCAATTTAATTTTTAAAAACACAACCAGATGTCCTGTTCATTTAGCATATGAGAAACCCACATCGGAAACATGTGTTTTTATGCATTCCAACACAGACACCAAGGTTTCTTTCTCTTGCTCAAACAGTCTCACTTCTGAAATAAGTCCCCTTTTATCTTGGACATCAAATGCCACATTGGCATGCAACACTATTCTGATCTTTGCAAGCTTTCCTTAGTGCTCTTATTCAGCCAAAAGATCTTTAATTTGGGGTTCTTCTCCTGGATTCCCACAGAGCTTTTCATTTCTTTTACAATGCTGACATCATTGTTTGCATTCTGGACTGACCTGGCCCGCTCTCTTTGGTGGCAGGGGAAGCACTTGAGGCCGGGGGCCCTCGCAGAGCTGGAGGTAGCCAAGCGTAAGGGAATGCTCCAAACCTACCCACATTGTTTAGGGAAAAGAGTTTCAGCACTGTCAGCACAACAACCTCGGGAGCAAAGGTTAAGGAACCTCCCAAAATTCAGTCTGGGTGGTGCTCAGCTCAGCAGGGATGTGCATCTCCTCCCAGCCAATGTTTAACTGGCTCCATTCTCCTTTTGCTCAAGGGATGCAATATCATCTTGTTTAAATTTAGGAGTGGAAAATGAGCCACTCTGCACCCGATGCAGAGAAAGTGTAAATAAAATTATCTCCACACTGCTGCAGCTTAGAAATCCATTGCTTCCCAATGTATTTTTCAAAGACTAACACACATCTGTGATTAGCAACTCCTATGGAATGGCAGTGAGTTTGGAGGTTACTCCAAGTTGAGAGTTGCTTTTGTTTGTGGTTGTGCTATTTACTTGGCCATCTGGGGGGACTATTTTGATGATTCGCAGCCCTTCACTTTTATTGCCTTCCAAAAGAGTAATTCTGCATTTGGCTAAACCTGTAAGCTTTCTTTCTGAATAATTTGGTCAAGAACATCTAAGCCTGGATGCTGCCTATTGTGTCGGCACTACAGGACTGATGAGTCTTTCTGTAGATATTTACAGTAACCAAAACCAAGCTCGGAAAGCAAAAACACCAAGGTGAACACAGACTCTCACCCTGCCTGATATCAGCACTGAGGCTTCTTATGCCTCTCTCTTATTTTAAGATGTGGTTCTACAAAGACAATACTCTCCAGAAAAGTTCCCTGCCTGAGGGGGAGCCCAGCACCCTTTATGCCCAGAGCCCACACTCTGGGCTTATCTAACACAAGGGCAATAATTTCTGGGAATCACACTATGACTGAGAACGAAAACGCTCCTCCAAAATCTGGCTTTGATGACTACAAACCCAAAATTCCATCTGAATCAATAGCCCAGATGTTCCCAGGTCCAGGCCCAGCTAGGAAGAAAGCCAGGACTTGAAATCTGGGTTAATACTCACACCAGTCCTCTGCAAGCACAAGCCCTGCCCTCACAAAAGTGAACTCAGACAAATCTCAGATGTTGCTGAGCAAACCTACAGGAGATTCTGTGTGTCACTGTGCAGCCCCAGAGCTCTCCGTGGCTTAAATTTTCTCCCACAAAGTTTATCATATTTTCCATCATTAACACTTCTACCACAGGGCCGGGGGAATGGCTTCAAACTGAAGAAGAGTAGATTTGGATCAGATATTAGTCAAAAATTGTTCCCTGTGAGGGTGCTGAGGCCCTGGCAGAGGTAGCCCAGAGAAGCTGTGGTTCCCTCATGCTGGCAAGGCCAGGCTGGATGGAGCTCTGAGCAACCTGGAATAGTGGGAGGCGTCCCTGCCCATGACAGGGGAGTTGGATAGAAGTGATCTTTAAGGCCTCTTGTGGTAGTTGGTGTTTTACAGTTGTTTTAATATAAAAAGTTAGACCTTTTATGTTAGTCAGTTACAATGGTTTTTCCCATGTACCCCATTCTGTTCCTCAAATGGTTCAGTCCTAAGTGGTTTACCACAAAGTTTTGCCGCCACTTGTCTGCCCATCACTGTGTCAGTCTCCCTGTTCCTTCATTCGCTTATATGTCCTTGTCAATCCCGATTACCCTACCCCTTGCTCCTTCAGTCACTGTTGTCACTACCTTTGTGTTCTGGAATGTTCGGTGCCAGTTAGCCCCGCTTTGATGGGCTTCTTCCCTCCCCTGAAGGCTTCTTCCCTCCCCTGAGTACTCCCTATTGGTTAAATTAAACTCCTTCCTAAGATCCCCCTCATAGGATGAGTTGCATCCACCCTTTGTACCATTCCCTCTGTAAAAATGGTTTCCAGACCCATTTTCTCTGTCATTTGCTCCTGATAACTTTCAGGAATAGGTCTTCCTTGGAAAGACAGGCAAGTGATCTTTCCCTGTTTTCTTTGCCTCGGATCTCCTCGTGCTGAACCCCTGCTGTGTCACCCACACCACAGCAATCACCGCCACTCTAGATGGTCTCGGCAGGGATCAGGGAGCAGCTACTCCTGTGTGTGCCCTCCGGCCACTAAGGGTGTGCTAGCCAATGAACCTGCCCCCCAGCTGCACAGTGCTGCCACAGTCTTCTTCCAACTCAAGCCATTCCATGATTCTGTGATTCTGTTTTCTTCCCAAGTTCCTCATAAATCACAGGCTGTGATTGGCAGCCACTGTGCAAACCTTGAGCTGTTGGACTGGCACAAAGCAGCCAGGGAGGTTCAGGCCTCTCCTGAGGATCAGCTTCCCCCACAGGCACCATGCTGACACACGAAGGATGTTGGTTAAGAATGAACAACAAAAATAGGTTGTTGCCCTTAATTGTGCCGTGTTCATGCCCTGGATGTTGCAATCACTATGCCCGAAATGATCCAGGAGAAGTGGCTGGAATGCCAGCTAGAGGGTACTGCCATCCTGCCCAAAACTGAATGCAATGCTCAATGATCAGCCTCTATCCCAGCTTTTGTGCTGCACCATTTGTGTAGACAAGGCATGTGGAGAACTGGTGTCTGCTGTGAAAGCTGGAGACTTTAGGAGAGCAGAAGACCTTGACACTTGCACACTGCTGCCTGACCAACAGCCTCACAAACAGCCCAGGATAAAAGCTGTTTGCAGGACAGTCATTTCCCACAAATTCCTCACAGATCCCAGAGCCTGCTGCACTGGTGCAAAGGGCTCTGGCTAAAAGCCCATCAGCTGCAGAAACAGAAGCAGAAACCTCAATCTCATGTTCAACCACTTAAAGAATCATGGACTCTTTGATTCTGTAATTACTGGACAGAGCCATCACTCTCTTCCCATTTTCCAGCCACCAATTAACGGGAGGCTCTCATATGCATCATAATAAAACCCCCTTTCTCTTAGTGATAGTGTAAAAATGAGAATGTAGTCAATGTAATCATGTTAGAAATGGTATTCAATTAATAGTTAGCTAAAAATTATTCAAATGGTGATTCAGGGACTGAATAATAAAGGAGAAATGGGCCAATTAAGCAAATGGACAAGCTAATGACTGCAGTGCAACAAAGTGAGCCCAATGACAATTTGATAAATTAATAGAAAGCTTCTAGGTGGGCTGACACATAAGGAGCAGGGGAAATAGGGAGGTATGGATAATTGACATTCTGAAATCAGAATACAGCTCTGTCAGGAGACAAAAGGAGGGCTTTGAGCAAACAGAGCCTATGGAAATCAGACATCACCCTTTGACACTTCACAGAGCTCTGCAGGGATGTTTCAATCACATCCCTCTGACCACTGCATCCAGTAGATGCTCACT